GATACATGATGATATTCGGAGCGTTAAAAACAATAAGTATTGGAATATTGGGGTGTGCGATAGACTTACCTCCACCTGTGCACCCTGGGCAACGTATACTCATACGGCAAAAAAGTCTATTAATCGGCAGTTGACTTCTGACTTCAAACTACCATCACCCCACTGTATGTCATATTCGAATACTTCCACAGTACTCACCTCACCTTTTTTCTACCTTTACTACCATCGTCTTTGAAACACTTCTCTGTTGCCCCCCCCCTCTCGATTTTTTTTCACTTTGATGTTCCTTCCTCTCTGTGAAGCCTGAAGTCAACTAAAGGGCTAATGATAACCATCAAGACGCCTGCCATTTGATATAAATAAATAAATATTGGAATATTTGTTTTAAGCAAAGTGCATATGGGTCAGCTGAGTTACGTTTCAAAATGAATCAAATTAAAGGTAAAAAGTAGGTGTTGAAAGCAGTATAATTAATGCAACCTAATGAGAAAGGTCGCGAAAATTGAAATACTTCTAAAGAATAATAAAATGAAATATCGTAAGGATAGGTGATTTTAAGATATAAAACTAGGAATTTGAAATCGATTAGAGTTAATTGCTTTGAAAAATGGTTTAAGAGTGGGGGAGAGAGTATTCAGTAAACAAAATCATTATTAATACCATGATAAACTAAAGACATTTTAAGCTATCGTTACAAGATATACTTTGAACACCAGTGATTCAAGAGTGAATGAGATCATATCGATTGAAGAAACTGCGTCATCAGATCAGTGTAAGCATAGCTAACAATGTTAAATTGAAAGTCAAGGCTGCATTATTCTTGAAGCAGTTCCACTCACTTAATTAAATTCTAGGAAAATTAAACCAAGCTTTGCCTTATTTGGATCTTCCATTACTGAGTCACTTTTCACTCTCGAGTTCTGAAAAATTCCGATGTGGAATTTATTTTATTAATTGGCATATTGCTGATGCATTAATATAGCACCAGGTTGTCAGTCGTGGCTCAATTTCGGACAATCTAGAATTAACATGTGTCATTAACAGTCTAGTCATTGATTGGATATTTCCCCTCTGAATTCCACCAGCATAACTATTTGGCCAAAATAGTTAGACACCCTACCAATAAAGAAAATAGTTAACAAAGGAACCATTAATAGAGCATGAGCGCTAGGCTACCAAAAATGTCACATGCCTATTGTATCAGACAGGTTAGCACAATCAGAATACTTTCTAAAATACGGTGAGTCCAACCAAACCGTTTTGGCAGATAGTTAAAAATTTAATAGAAAATTGAATTTACGTTAGCAGCAGACGAATCACACGCATTTAGACATCAATATGCATCACTGGTTCAGAGGATGCACAAGGACAGGAGAGTTGCCTTGAGGCCTATCGATAAAGTTTTGTTCAATCTTTTGGTAACAAGGATATTTGTGTCTGGAAAGCAGTCAGCTTGCAGACTTACTGATGTTCAACCGAAAATAAAATTTTTGAGCTTTTTAGAAATTTAAAACTTTACTTATATAGTATTTTCTCAGCAGACATTTAGTATTTCATTTAGCAAACTTGGTGATATTGAACTATTACAATAAATGAAATGTAAATGTACTTAATTTCACTGAAGTCTTTTAATGCAAATTCATGCTTTCATCCAGACGTCAAAATTACTACCAAGAAATTAGTATCTATTATTTAAGAAATGAAAAAAATCGAAATTTCCTTCGGACCAATCAAAATCTATGCGACTATGTTGCTGCAATATTGGAATGAAAGCAATTTTGCCTTCAATATAATAGAAAATTTATTATTTACTGCCACTAATACATTAAGTCAATTGGAAATAGGCATTATTAAATTACCTAAGCAAAATATGAATGCTTGTGAATTTTTTTAAAAACCAAATATAAAAATGATATACTGGCTGGTTTTGAAACCGTACAAATATTAGCTGCTAAAATAAATATAGGATTGATGTAATCTCAAGCGAATTATTTTCTGACTTTATGAACCAACGACCTGGTTGGGGAGAGAGAGCTAAAAGAGATTACAAATTTCCAGACATTAATCTGAAAGTAAAGACAATCCCCGCCAGAAATAAACCTCTCAATTAAAGTGAAGATGTCTATTACTTCGATGGACAAAGTGAAGCTTGATCCCAAGAGGCATTCGTTCTTTTCGAAAGAGATAGATCCATAGTTTCCACTCCCCCCCCTAGCTCCCCCTCCCCCTATTCGGCCAATTTAATTTTTTTGAAAAATTCAAACTTAAAAAAGTATGTCTATTCCCTGCTCTGCATAAATTAAACATAGATCGCATCGAAAGTCAAAGATTACTAATGATCCACTGCATCTGACTAGGTCTCAAAATTGTTCGAATAGTGCGAACTGTAAATAATCTTGTTTTCGCTTCGTGCCTCACGACATTTCAGTATAAAAATGTTATTTTACTTTGACAATAAAATAAAAATTATGAACAGCAGTTTCTTTGACTCATGTTTCAAAAAAGATAATTTTGCATTCTTTTGCAAAGTGATTAAAAGTAGTTGTTTATATCAATTTATTCATAAATGGAGTATTAATATTGTGTTTTTCATAAGTAAATGCCTACCTGCAATAGGGGAGGGAACAAATTAATGGAGGTGTGGCAAGATTTTCGCGCTTGAGATTTGCGATAAAAACATCTTCTTTCCTCCTTTCAGGTGAAAATACTTGTCTGTTCTTTTAAAAAGCCCTTAATTCAATCACATTTTGCTCCATTAATACTGTTGAACCTTTTCATAAAAAATTCCAACTTCATATGGTTATTTCTAGCTTTTAAGCTCTTTTTGCAAGCTCTATATTTTGTGGATAAAATATTTCTGTCTAAAAATTGCCCAAACCCCCTCTTATTTCGTGTTTTACCGGAAAGGATGAATAGACATTTATTTTTAGGCCTACTTTTAATATACTTGTCTGACAGCTTGGCAAGGAGGTGTATTTGCACCGCGAGTAAGATGGCTTGGCCTAGTCGTGAACTGGGGTATGTCTTTGGACCACACTGATCGTTTAGATATTAAGCTTATGCTTTGACTTGCAAGATGTGTACAGCAAATTACCCCATGTAGCTTTTTAATGAATTCTCCGAAAAGACTCCCTGGATTTAGAAAAAACAATTTCTGAGTGCCTCGTTTGGGATACATATTTTTAATTTGATTATAAGGCCAAATAAATCAAGTACTATCTTACAAGCAATAAAATATTTCCACATTAAATGAGGACAAGAGTTTTTTCCGTTTCTATTTATTAATGTAATTCTGTCAGTTTCAATTCAACTTCTTCAGATACAGTAAAACCACGAGTTTAATGTGATTTCTGCACTTTTCAATTAACCTTAATTTAATACTGCCACACACATATTTCCTTTCAAAGTTTCCCCAAATTCTTTCGTCAAGATCTTCCCAACTAGCAGTTGTCTTGGGTGAAATGCGATTTATGATTTAATTTAATGGACCAAATTGTTACTCTACATGCTTTATTAAAGGTAATCAAAAATTTTCATTTCATTAATATTAAATATGATACAACATAAAACACATATAGTGGTGTCTACACCTACAGTTAAGATATTGCAAAATAAATTCGAGCTATGAAAAGTATGCCATCGACTTATTTAGTAGTGAATATAAGTAGTATCGGCGAAAATAAGGAAGATGATGGATTTGTCGGGAAAACCACGATGCTAAGGTGCAGCTTTTCCAACTGCTTCCAAATCAGGCTCTGACGGCCCTAAGTGAATGGTTGACGGATTTCCCGATTTGTCAAAGAGATTGTTTTTGGAATGGCATTGGGAGATCTTCTTGGTAAGTGCTCGCTGCTGTATTTCATCCCTGGTTAGAACTTCAAACTTCGCCTCCTTGTAAATGCCCTTTTTGCCAACAATGTTGAGAATTATTATATCGCAAATTGTTGGTGCCTAGAAATTGAAAGTTAAAAACAAACCGATAAGTATAAACTTAAAGTTTATGACAGAAAATAGTTGGCAAACACGGAAATATGATAGACAGTTCGATGCATATAGTGAATAAATAAAAACGTTTATTTGCAACTTGATTTTTAATATTATTAGCAATTATAATTATTTTGAGTTTCTTTAACATGGGCGCCTTTAAGAAAGCCTTTGTTTTATAGATTTACAGATAAATGATCTTTGAATCTTTTTGTTTTAAATTAAATGAAATAACTTAACTATTTTATGTATACGTATTAACTCAAATTGTTGATCACTATTGTTTACATAAATTACTTCCTCAAATTTATGTCTGTGTATTCACTGTCCAAACTTTCCAACTCATGCTAGCTTTATGAAAGTACTCATTTAGATTGCCCATTACTAGCAAACCTTTTTACCAATTTCCACCTGACAAAAAATACAGCCATCGATCAGACCAATTCGGTCTTGCTCTGACAGAACAAAACGACATAAATTTTCTCCCAATCAGCGTTTTGAGATAGGGGACAAAACTATGGTACAAAGGAGACCTTGTTCAATTACCTATTCATTCAGTAAATCACGGCTATTACATTTTCCAATTAGAAGGCGTCTAATGGTCAAGCTGATTATGTCGACTCTCACATCCAAAGCTTATCATTTCAAATGACTTCTGGACCACCTACTTCATCATGTGTCGACGTATTGGTGGTTGCAGTGGAATAAAATCAACAGAAGAAATCATAGTTGGCTCTTAACCATAGTGCAGTGGATCAAATAAATTTAAATGTCATTTCTGCAAAATCTCCGACCTTGTTATAAAAATTCATCTTCTAATGGTGAAGAAAAGATGATTATGCCGAAGAATATCGTTTTAAGAATTTGATTATTGCTACAGTAATCAAATTCACTAATTAGACCATCAATATTGAAAATTCTTCAAATTCTGCCATTTCTAAATTAATTTCTAAATTGTTATCCATTGATTCACCCATGAACCAAACGGTTATTTTCATTTGTACCCAGCGTTAATGCGAATGCTACGCACTTGAAAGGTCAGCGTGACCCCAAACATGTTCCTGTTTCTTAGCCAATCCAATTCCAAGCTGAAGGTCTAGCTATGTGTTCTTTTATCACTTTGTCCGAATCCTAATTGATGTGCTTGCGCGATGAATTCAATAACCTATTAAGAAATATTTTCAGAATTACATATTCGATTTAAATATTATGATAATATGAGTTTATTGTGGCACTCTCCGACATACCCGACTGGCCAAGAATCGAA